TCATAAATATTACATAATTCTATGTTTTAATTTAATAATACTTTAAATTAATTTTGCGATGCATATTTTCTTGGGAGAGACAAATGTGTATTAAGATATGACGTAACGATCATTCTTCGGTGTGATTAATCAACGTCTCGTATACAATGCTATGGAAAGCAGTTATCAATTCTCCTGCGGCTGGTGCTCTTTTCGTCGTGTTGGTTTCTCTCCGTGTGATTCTCTTAAATACTACAAACTAAATCTCTCCCTTGATTTCAGGTAACAACGGTTGTCTACTACTAATTGCTGTTTGATGGCACAATGCTCCACTATCCGTCCAGCTAAGTCGTCCGTCAGTTTCCTGTGCAGAAAGGCACGTAGTAGAACGAATCCGGACTAACATTACTCTCTAACGGGGCATTGTTTCTGCCAGCTTACCAACGTTTTCGCGCGTCTAAAAAGCGCGCCCCTTTTCGCTATCGCTTCCCCCCCTCCCCCCCCTCCGCCCGAAAGTCTCGGCAAACCGGAAAACATTGTAAAAGTTTCGCGGTAAATCGTAGCAATCTCGCTGTTCTGTCGTTTCTTCAACAATAAGATTTTATCGTCGACACATTTTCCACGTGAAAAGTATTTAGGTAAATGGCGGTAGAATGGCGACGATGCAGCCTTTTTACAGCCTTACAGTCTATAGCTTCTTATTACGATCATTGATACTGCTCTCATTATGAAATCTAGGGTGGCCATCTCTCTCTCTTCCCTCGTCCGCAAAAGAACTTAGAAGCGAGATATCGTTTTCATCGTCGCTTTTTTTTTCTTTTACTATCTCTTTCGTATTCATGCCGCTTAAATGTGCATTATCATGAATATGCCCTATGAATATTTCCCTTTCTGGCTTGCGTTATATTTTAAATACAGCGGCTTGAGACCCGAATGAGACTATATTTTAATTACACAGGTTAAGTTCCTCGCTTCAACAAATATAATGGTACATGCATAAACATACCCAAGATATTTATAATTTTTATCACACGGTTTTAATAACACGAAATATTCAACCTCTTGACAGTGTTTTAAATGAATATCATATTACAAAGCAAAATTAATTAAAAAAAATAAATAAATTTTATTATATATCCTGCATCCTCAGAACTTAATTTAACTTTCAATGACAAAAAATGTTAACTATTAATACTTTTTTTCCATAAAATGCTAACTCTTTAATTTTTTATACAACCTAAGTGAGTTTATACTTATTTCAAGAACTTGTAAAATCTTGTCCATTTCTGTCTTATAATTCATTAAGTGGAGCTTAGACTTACGCAAGACTTAAAGGGGAACGTATGCTTTTATGTTTTTATTTTATACAACAGACTTTTATTATTTGTTTCCAAAACGCGCGTTTACGCGAGGCGGTACGAACGTTTATATTTTTGGAGCAATATCGAGCTGCGCGAGTACATTGGGAAAATAATCTCGAGTTGCAGGCGCGCAAAGGCAGCTCGGGCAGAGCAAAGGGCTAAAACGGGAAGAGGCGCGGTGTAGAAACGCCGGAGGAGATGGGATTCCGAATCGACGCGGACTATGCGTGGCGCGCGAGATCACAGAGACGGAATCCCGACGTAAACAGGCTTAAATTGTAATCTCGGGCTTTCGGTTCTCTCTCCCGACGGGATACTTGTTGCTCGTCTACTCTTTGATGTCCGGTCATGCGGCGCTCAAGAGATCAATATATGTTCATCAATAAGCGCGGCCACTCGCGGTGCCAAAGGGACACGCATACGAATATCACGGTAACGTTAACCTTGGCAGCAGGTGGCATAGATGATCATCATTGTAATTATTTGCCCTGCTTTTTACGATCGATTTGCTTGCCACTGCTCAAGAACGACAAGAAACGCTCCATTTCTGTTTCGGTGTCGTGACATTTGTAAATGAATATTCGTCATATCTTGAATAAATGGCTCATTGTGTGGCTCAGTTATTACATTCAAAATAAATGCTAAAAACGACATTAATGGTACAGTTTAACTAGAAGAAAAAGAAAGCAAATAATATAATAGATCAGAAGAATATATTACTATTTAGAGCTCTGAATCAGTTTTTATATCTTTAAAAAATATGTGCATTTACATTATATTATAATTTATATTTTGATAATATCCTTGTGGTTACAGCATTTTGCATAGAAAACGGATATTTTGCATACTTTATTAATGATAAAAATTGATTGGTAGTTGAAACTTTTGTTGATTAATGCTAACACAGATTGATATTGACATTCGAACAACATCATCATAAAAACATAGTCCAATTACGGAACTATTTTATATCTGTTTGCTTTGCTAATTACTGAAGCATTTAAAGCTGCGTTTAAATTGTATTTATAACATTCATAATTCAAATATATCATATCATCACGTAATGATAAATTACATATGCATGTATATATATATATATATAT